GCTTCTTTCCCCCTAATCCAGCCTCTCCAACTGACTTCCTTTTATCTAGCCTTGCATATGTCCTCAAAACCTCGGAACCATCTTTTATTCGCTTCCCTCTTGATATTTCACCCGTTGATTTAACATCCAGAATATGTCTCATCCGTTTTCTAATTTCCATTCACACATATAGGTTTTATTGAAAAACAATTTAGTCCATGCTTGTGTTAAAAATTCAAATGGTATCAGTCGTACTAATCAGATGTAATATTATTCTAATCAGATGTAATATTAGTCTAATCAGAGCAAAAAGTGAACATTCTTCTTCAGAAAAGTGAATATTCCTCTTCATGAATTTACTCTCCATCCTCTGTCCAAATACTATTTCTCTTCCCAGTGGATAAACAAATTGTGGTATATGCATTCGATGGAATACTAGTTAGCAATAGAAAAGAGAAGGTTACTGATACATTCGACAACTTGGATGTATCTCCAAGACCTTATGCTAAGTAAAAGAAATCAGACACAAAGGGCTATAAACTGTATGATTCCATTTACATGAAATACTAGGAAAGACAAAGCTATAGAAACAAGTCACATCAGTGGTTCCTAGAAACAAGTCACATCAGTGGGGTAGGAGCAGGGGATAGACTGTAAGCTGGCACAGGGGAACTTTTTAGGGCAAATGTTCTTTATTTTGAGTGTGGCGGTGATTACAAGACATCATACATTTATCAAAACTCATTGAACTGTACACTTTTGAAAAGGAGAATTTGATCTGATTGAATTACCTGACTGATTTTACTTGCCTGAATTAAGCCTGACTTTAAAAAAAAAAAAAAAGAAAAGAAAGAAAGAAAAGAAAAAGAGGAAAGAAAAGAAAGAAAAGCATAAGCACATATTTATTTTGAAGTGGAACTTTCTGTACCAGATGGTGAACGGATTTTAAATTTCCGTAGATAAGGCCAAATTGTCTTCCAAAATGGCTATTCCAATTTACACCTCCACCAGTAGACCCTGAGAGTGGCTATTTCCCCACACTCCAGCACAAATGGATATAATCAATTTTTTAAAAGTTCTGTCTGTTTGATGGTGAAAAATGTTATGATTCTTGATATTTCAGGCACATACTGTTAAGATCTTATCCTAATTGGGCTCTATACTTGCAGTCTTTTTTCTCTCCAAATTACCTTATATATTGTTAATAGAGTAATCTTTCTTGGGCTTAGTTCTAATAATATCTGAAAAAAAAAAATCGTTAATGATACTCCATTGCCTACAAAATTAAATCCTGACCTTTACCCAGATATTCGAGTCCTGGTTTGACCCCAACTTCCCTTTTCTCTCTTCTCCACTTCTGTCTTATCATTTTTACTAGAAAGTTCGACTCAAACTTATAGCTCAGTTTTTCTTACTCTTTTTTTTCCTAGCTCGATTGAGATATAATTGACATATGACCCTGTAAGTTTAAAGTGTACAATGTGATCATTTGATACATATATATATATATTATGAAATGTTTACCACAATAAGGTTCCTGAACACCTCCTTCAGCTCACGTAATTTCCATTTTATAGTTGTTGTTATGCTGAGGACTTTAAAGCTCTACTCTCATAGCAATTTTCAAGTATACCATACAGTATTGTTAACTATAGTCACCGTGCTGTGCCTTAGACCCCTAGAGCTTACTCATCTCGGATTTGAGAGTCTGTATCCTTTGACCAACATCTCCCCATTCCCTCCACCCCTGGTCCCTGGCAACCACTACTCTGCTCTCTGGGGAATGTACTTATTGTTTCCCAGCAGTCTTTACTCCCGACTTCGTATCAGAATACTGGGGAGCTTTGAAAAGCTGTGATCACCCAAGCCTGTCTATAGAGATTTAGATTTAATAGGTCTGAGGTATGACCTGGGGGTATTTTTTGTGTTGTTTTTTTTGGAGTCCAGATGATTTTAATACGCAGCCAGAGTTGTGACTCATTGCTGCCACTGATCCAGTACTCTAGCTAGATAAATCCCATGCTTTCTTGTCTTTATGTCCTTGTTCACACCGTCTCTTCCACCTGGAGTACCTGTCCTATCTTGGTTAGCTGTCCGAATCCTCCTCATCCTCTAAGAAGCCCATAAGGCCCAACTCATTTGTAACTCCACCATGAATGAAGCTTTCCTTGATCCCTCCTATCCAATATGATTTCGTCCTTCTTCAAACCTTTTGTAACTTCTTTCTCACATTTATCACATTCTACTATGCAATATAGTTATATTTTAAAACTTACATTTTCCTGTAAGATTGTCAGCTCTTTAAAAAAAACGATAGGGAATGAATCTTGCTTATCACTCAGCGTACTGCTTGCTGGGGCCCTTACGCAGTAGGCGCTCAGTAAATCTTTATTTAAATGTTTACTCTGTTCCAGCTTCTTCACTTTGCACAGTTGCTGCTTCTGTCTGGAGCTCTCTCCCCCAAGATATCCCCATGGCTCACTTTCATCGTAGTAGAGTGACATATATAGCTGTCATCAGCTGAATATTCACTTATTTATTTATTGCCCATCTCTTCTCACTAGAATGTAAGCTCCGCAAGGAGAGGCCTTTGTTTTGTTTGCTGTTTTATCCCCAGTGCCCATAGCAGTGACCGGCACATAGTAAGTGTCCAGGAAGTATTTCTTGAAGTTAATAAATGAACTTTATGGACATTTATTTACCTTATTTTGTGTAATCCTCAAATCGACTCCCAGCTAGGCAAGGTAGGCATAATCAAGCCCATCATCAGATAAAAAAGATTGAGGTCGGAGATAAAGAAAAGCTTTGTGTCCAAGATGACAAACGTTTATGTGACAGAGCAGAGCTCAGAACTCAGCCGTTCTGTTCCTTAGCCCAGGGCTCTCGTTCTCGCTCCCCATTACCTTCCATCTGGCCTCTAACTATCCAGTTTGTCAGTCTTCCCTCCCATTCCTATCCAGGCCCACCCCGAAGAATTGAGGGGCCCTGGTCAGAAGTACAAATTGAGGCTCACACACCATACATCAAAACATCAGAAAGGTCCATGGTAAGCAAGCATACTATTAAATAACATATGCCTGTTCTCCTCCCGTGGCAAATATACCTTCATAAGAACCTGGTAGGCCAGGTTCAAAAGCAGAATTTTGACTCCTTGGAGTATGTGGCAGCTGAGTTGCCACATGAATATGGGCCCTGTTTCATATTCTCCTCCCACACCTCGTTCTTTGCTTCACTCCTATAGGCTTCGTGTGCTGATCCCCCCCATCCCTCACCTGCATGTCCAAGTTCACCGATCCTCTGCAGACAAACACTCCTTGGCCATACCTTGGGACCTGACTCACCAGCTGTTGGCCCACCTTTTGGGAGAGAGAGGCCGCCCAGGCACTGGAAATGAGATTGGGGCTGAGTGGGCAGGGACTTCTGGGGTCCTGGGTCCCCAAGCATGGGGGAAGTGAACTCCTGGTAGGGTATTCTTTTGGCCCCTAAGATTCCTTGTCTTTTGGAGACAGGTGCAGTTGGAAGAAGCCCAGAGTGGGGCCCTCGAAAGCTGAGGGGGGACTGACCTATCTCTCCTCCTTAAACCAGACTGTATACTTTTTGGAGACCCAGGCTAATTCTCCCCTATCTCCTAGGGGTTGTTTGGTTTAACCGGAAAACAAGAGATGGAGGTTGAACCTGAGGTAAATGAACTAAACTTTTTGGCTTGTTTCCTCATCTATAGAATGGGAACTAGATGAGATAATCTCTAAAATTGCTTCCTTTATGTCTTCTTCTACATCCCCCATCCTCCAACTAATAGGTCATAGCAGGTGCTTGGAAGTGTTTGCTAATATGAATGCCCTAAGGTCTTGTCTTAATCCCTTCTCATATCAGATGAATGTATGTAGGTGTGTGCGCTTATACATGTGGGGGCATGCACATGCACACGCAGTGCACACACGTGCACACGCCCCTACCTTGTACCACTCAGTCTGTCTTGGACTCCAAGTCACACGACTTACCAGCCGGACTGTCAGAGCCCTGGGAGACATTTTCCTAGACCCTGAGGCAGAATGCTCGAAATCCTAACAGAAGTAATACTTAGTTTATGCCTTCAGAGCTCAGAGATGATGGGACTCTGGGGATCTTACTTTCCTTAGAAAGTTGGTTATCTCGAGTCATTTCTGTTATCTCAAAGTTGCGATTTTAATTTCTGACTGATACCAATCCCTTCTTACTGGCTGGGCAAACATTTAATTTTTCTTGAATTGAGAGGGAGCCTCCTTTCTCTGACACCCTGGATTCTCATGTAGGTGGGAGCTTACTGAAGGGTGAGGCCAAATCTGAAAGGTTGAAGATCTTCACTGGGCAAGTGGATGCTGTGGTTCAAATCACCAAATGTATAATGAGAGTTTACTGGTGCCATGGGAAATCCTAAGCCAGATGACAAACTTCACGTTAATTTGTTTGGAGAGGTAAAGCATAAATTCATAAAAAAATAACATAACAGGACAAGACAATTTAAGAATCACTCCAAGGCAGCAGTTTGTGCTCAAATGAAATTTCTACACAATGAGTTCAGAGAATGAAGAAAAGTGTGAATAAGAGGTCCCTGATCTAGAGCCATCCTATCCAGGGACCGGACATTCTGGGACAGCCTCAGCATCTGCACATCAGTACTCATCCGGAGTTTATGAGCTGGAGGCAAGGTCTGCAAAGCCTTTCTTTTATGGCGTGGAGGAGGATGGGAGAGATCAATTGCTAAGAACAGGGGCCGTTCTGATGGGGAGGCATGATAAAGTACAAATTAAAAGCATCGACAAAGGCTATCTTTAACCTTTATTCTCAATTATCTTCCTTAAAACCAACAGGGAGGCCTTATTCTGAGAAGGGGCTATCACTGACTTTCCTATCTCACCACCGGGCTAGAAGCCTGGGTGCGTTGAAGATGCAAGGCTGGGCTCGGTAGGAGAACCAGAAGGGAGCACGACCAGGTGCTTCTGTCAGTGTTGATGGTTCACAATCTTCACTGTCCATCATAGATAGCTTCCGGGGCAATAAGGTAGTGCTCCCAGGCCACACCTGCCTGGTGCAAGCGCTCCAACAGGATGCAAAGATTCGAAATGGGCAATTCCATCTTCCAAGACTTTTAAGTCGCCAGCGTCTTCAGAGTTTTCTGTCTGGTACGTAGCCGGTCCTTGACAAATGTTAACTCCCTTCTTCGCTTTCCTCATTTCGCGGGGGAAGTCTAACCACCAAACGCCAACCCTCTGACGTTCTCTCCACCATCCCAAAGCGACACTTTCCCTAACAGGGCCTGGACGAGCGCGGTTCTCTTTAGCTCTGCTTCAATTTGGTTCAACAGGCGTCCTCTGTAGGCCTACTACGTGCGGGGTGTGCGTGAGAGACCCGGAGCGTCCGGTCGTTGGTTTCCCAATCACCGGGACAGGAGGGAGGAAAGGGGTCGAGCCGCGTGCGCGCTTTCCTCGCTCCCTCTACTGCCTGCGGGGCCCTTGGGGAGCCTTTCCTCTGCTTTGTGCCCTCTGCCGCCCCGAAGGCCGTCTGTCCTGCAAACGCAGGCGCCCCGCTCACACCTGCTGCCCGCGCACAATCGAGCTGAGCGAAGGCGGGCGCGAGAGGAGGAGCTAGAGGCCCGCGGCGCTCGGGCTGGCCGGGTTTCCCGCTCTGACCCCTCCTGACGGACCTCGCTCCCTGCGTCCAGGCGCCCACTGGTGGAACCCGCGAGGCCACCAGGCGGCGGGGCCCAGGCCTCCCGCGTCCCTCGGCGCCCCCTCCTGGGAGGCGGGTCCTGGGAGAGGACGCGGCCCGGGCCCGGCGCCGGCGCCCCCGAGCCCTGCGCCCCGCC